GGAGTTCGTTCAATGAGAAAGGGAGTGACTCAGCTTCTTCTCTCGGCCATAACTTCGGGGAGGTTGCAGGGTCCCTCTTAGGAAAATAAACTGCCATTGTTTTTCCAATCTTCAAATCTTCCAAGGTGAGGAACACCATCACAGAAGGGTTCATGTGATCCATGTGGGAATGAACATGTGCATGTTCATGTTCTGTGTGCACTGTTTCATGATTCTCATCAGAGATTGCTTCCAAGATTTTGTTTTCTGTTCCACTTCCAACCAATTCCCTGGCTCTAGAACACTGCACAAAAGTTCAACAAAGAATACTGGTTAGCTTGGAACGAAACGAAATCTCAAGGAAGATATTGGCATAATAATGTACCGTGATTATCAGTAGAAGAAGAAAGATGATCCACGGCTTATATTTTTCGCCCATGTTTCTGCTTGCATGCACTGAACACTATCTTCAACTTTGCCTACGATAACAAAACCACCGTCCTATAGTGGCTTGAAACAGATCCTGTAAAGAATTGCTCACGGACCAATCATATTACACTCGATACATGTTTTCATTTACCTCGTTTTCCCATACTTTTCATAACATTAATAATAAATAATAATTAATAAAAACATATTCATAGCCACCAAAAGGTACCCTAACACCTAATATACATGTAGAGAAAAAATAAAAATATTTTAATTAATATATGTATATGTTATACTCTCTTCGAATGTGATAGAAGATGAATCTATAGACATGTGTCCTAATTTTGTAAATAACTATTTCTTACACAAAATATTGTTTTTATTAGTTGATAAAGTATAACTTTTTTCATTGGCTTGAAACTAAAAGAATTACATAAACATAAAGTGAAGAAAAATGTTATTTGTTTTTATAATTTAGTACGGTGGTATAAGGGAATTTTTATTGTCTTGTTGGGCAAATACTTTTTTATTTTAATTTTGTAATCTTATAGTGTAATATAAATTTAAGAATAGTGTTTATTTTAAAATTAAGATGACTAATGAAAAAATGCTTAACTTTTTTTTTGTAGGTTGATTGATTAATACATTAATGTTGTTTATATACAAACAAAATAAGCAGTCTCACCACATAAAAATTTGGTTAAACAAATTAGTTAATCTAAATAATCGTCTGTAAAGATAATCTTGACGAACATAAATGATCAATATTAAATCAAAAAGTGATATCATTATTGAATAATGATATATTTTGCTATTATTGGGAAATCACACCTACTACCATTTCCTATAAAAGAAGGTACAATTATTGAGCAATTAACTATTTTTTATTTATTAATTAATTTAAAAATTTGCTTATAAATTATGAGTAATGTTTTTAGTTGAATATTCGGATGAAAGAATTTAGGTCCATGACTCATAACCTGCATGTTATATTTATATGTTGTATTTGGGCAGGTATGAACTTATTTTCGAGCAAAATTCTCGACGCTATTTGAAGGGTAGATGGGTTTGGCTAGCAAATAATAAATAGATTCAACTCAAATATATTTGGATAAAATATATTAAATAAAAAATAATAATTAATGATATTTTGATTTGTTCTAAGACTATTTCATATTAGTTTCTTATTGATTATGATTTTAAAAAGTTGTTTTAATTTGATTGAATTCACTTAAACTTAATTAATTATGAGAGACTTGTAAATATGTAAATTGTATATGTCAATTTTTATAAGATGCAGTTGTTACCAATGATTTTTTTTTTATAATAAATATATGAAGCATGTTCAACTCTAGCGATTATATATTAACAATATTAATAATGTATTATATGTATTAACAATAATAATCATATATATATATATATATATATATATATATTAATAAAAGTAATAATATATATTAACGACTCTATTAAAACGAACACCAATGCTCTTATAACTTTTTCCAAACAAATTATCGAAGCTACTTGATTTAACTTAATTGATTTATTTCCAGTTAGAGAGAAAGGGAAACGATAATGTGATTTTTCATATTACACTGAAGCCCAGATATTTATTTATTGACATGTACTAGCTTTTCTTAAATTCTTAATAAGCTGTAACATTGATATTTGATCATTTACAAAATATCGTAAATTTGAGTCTACTAAACTTAAATATCTAATAGAACATTTTAACTATTTTATTTTTATTTTTTATAATAATAGAACATTTTTATTATTAAAATTTGTTGTATTTGATGTTTTTTTATATAAATAAGGCTGATAAATGAGTTTTCTGAATATTTTTTGTGAGTTTTATAAAGTTTTAAGAAATATTCGTAAAAGAAGTTCTTCGAAATATAATTTTGTTTATGATATTTTGATATAAGCATGATGTTAATAATTTAGTTATTAGGTGTTTGTCTAAAATATATTAAATTATTGGGAGTGAAAGAAACCCATCCTTAGTCACATGAACCCATCCTTAGTCCAATGTGTTTGTATTATTGTCGTCGTGATGCTCTTTTTTTTTCTTCCTTTATATAGAAAGATATTCTCTAATCCGACACGATCAAACAACTCTTGTCGCATTGTTCATAGAAATATAGATATTGATCTACTCATTGTCCCAAATGTAATATATTTTATTCGATTGTTTGTTTTATATGTAAATCTTCTTCACATTACCTAATATATTTGTATGATTTTACAAAGTAGTTATATAATATAGGATTTGTCGCAGTCAGCAGTATCAAAAGAAAATCCTAAGATATAATTGAAAATTAAAGAACACAAAACGTTTTGAAACAACCTACGAGGTAATATAGTATATTTAAGATTTAACCCAATCATCTAAGAAATCATCTTGAATCGTGAAGCCTATATCTGTTTTTTTCTTTTTAGTAAATAACATTTATGGTGTGCTTAACAGTGGATCTAATACTCCATGGCATGAGTCTATAAGGTGACACCCTTCCTCTCATTTTTTACATCAAAAAAAGGTGAAAAAGGAGGAGACAAATTCTAAAATATATTATTGCTACTTGTGTTTTAGAAAATAAATAGAATTGAAACACTTTTATCTTGTTGCACTGTAATTTCATCATTTGTTTATTATAAAATGTTTAGTATGAGGAAAATCTTTGGTTTTCTAAGGGATCTTGATTTCTTTTTTTTAGAAAATATTGGTGGGAAACATTTTGATAATTTTTTTACCTGTATATTTTCAATTAAATTGTTCACATTGAAAAATTAACTTTTCTACAGTTTTATCAATAATTGTTTAATTATAAATAATTATGATTTTTTCAAACTATTTAATGTTTATTTTTGTTAGAAATAGGCTTTATCCTAACTCAATCCTATAAAATTGGTATGTAAGATAAGGTTTGCATCCACTTAAATGGGACTTCTAACGCATCCCTTCACATCGAGATATAGACATTTCGAACGTGAGAGTAAAATGTCCACATAAATCTCGCTAGGAAAGGCTTCAACCATGGTTCTGATATCATGTTAGAAGTGAGTTTTAGTCTAACTCAACCTTACAAAACTAACTTAAGATAATGTTTGGATCCACTCATATATTATAATTTGACTTTATCTCTATGATTTAGACTTTCAAATAGTCTTCGGGACTAGTTTCATAAAAAAAAAAGTTTGAATTGAACTATTTCTATTTATAAATGAAAAAAAAAATTGTTAAATTGATGGATAATAATGCAATAAATAATTTTCAGTGTAAAATTAAATATCAATTTAATGGTATTCCCAATAAAGGGTATATGACAACTATAACGTGTAATATAATAAGTAGAAAGATTCTTCATGATTCAATCTATTATATTTCGAATTCTACAATAATTCTTCAATAAATCGAGAAAACACAATACATAGATCTTGAACTGTACAAGATCTTTTATTATTACTTATGAAATCCTGACACCTGTAATCCTCTTGACAATCTCAGTTATGTTGAAATAAACTATATAATTTTTTTTAAAAAAAAAACAATATCTCTTGAAATTTTTTCTCACGTGAATATTTACTGTATTAGAGTTAAGTACAAACAAGAAGTTTATAATTAGAGGCACTTTATTTCGTTTAACTAGCTGTGAAAAGAAAGCCCGAACTCAGGGTATTATAAATTTTTAAAATTTCATCTTTATTTCTAAAAATTGTGGGAGAAATCTAAAAATTGAATCTGAAAATTGTGTTGAGATATGTAATTTAAACCTAATTCAATTTTATAAAATTTTAGTTTATTAGATGAAGTTTATATTTATATATTCTAAATTAACATTATTTATAATTAACGTAAAATTTTTAACAATAAATTAGAAGTCAACCAATAAATAATTTAATTAAAAATTTTATAGACACTTTGTGTCTTGTATTTGTTTAATCAATATATGGTTATATGTTATCTAAAAGCCTTCAGTTTAAATAATCATAGGGAGAAGTTAGTTGTTTCCTCCATATACTTCTACTTCATTATTTCACTCATAACGAAATACAAGTATTTTTGTTTGAGCTAAGCACTAAAACAAATCACAGTATCCAATTTTGATACGGTTAAACAATTTTAAAAAAAAATAAAGATATTTATTATTTTTAAGATATAAATTGTTTGTATAAACTGTTTTGATCTTACTTTTAATATAAAATCTTAAAATTTATAAATTTTCTTTTTTTCTTTACGTGATTCATCTTTAGTCTTGAAACTTTTAATTCATTTTTAAAGTTTTAATCTTATTTCCATAATTTTTAAATCGTTAGACATATCATTTGACACATTTTTAATATACTTAAATCTTAAATTATTTCAATCATTTTTAAATCATTACCTGCTATGTCATTTGCACACTTTTAATATGGCTAAATATTAGAATCAATACCCAAATTTAACACACTGATATGTAAATTTCAAGAGACAAATATCCTTGGAGAAAAGTTATGCATTTATTTATTATTATCTTCATTCGGGTGGACCAAATAATTATGTGCCAGCTCTTTCAGTAATTTTCTAGCCATTTCAGCATTAAATTAACTCAAGAATATGCTATCTATCACATGCTGGCTATAAATAGCAAGTTGATATCTTCCTAAAATCATAAAGAGATTTTCTATAGTATCACAATGAGGCCTTCTCTTGCTATGTTTTCTCTTCTATTTGCTTTCTTGGTATGTTCACCTTCTTTCACACTTTTATATTTTCCTTTATTGTCTTAACAATATTTTATTATTACCTATTCCACATGGTATTCAGGAGTCTAAATCAAAGTGGGTAATCAACAAATAATTAGTTCGTCTTTTCTATACATGATTAAACATTTTTAATTATTTTATTTTAAATGTATATTATATAGATTGATCAGAATCATAGAATAAACAACTATTCAAAATCATAGAATATATATTGAAATAATTTGGAGTGAATGATTTAAAACAAGCGTGATAAAATTAATATGAGAAAAAATTGACATGTCAAAATGATTTATTTACTGTGTTAAACTATTCAAACGTAGTCCAAGGTTATTTTTAACATATATGTCGTAAAATAGCAATTTATCTAATGTTTTGGCTATGTTTATAAAGTAAGTATAGCTTTATTTTTGTTCTTAAACCTGATTTCATACTAATTAAAGACGTCAGTTAATTATATTAAATTTTATTTCCTCTTGATATTATGTTTAAAATATTTCCTTGAAAGAATTATAAAAGATAAAATTGCAATTATAAGCTAACCATTAATTAAAATTGAAGCATTTCATGAAAATGTTGTTAAATAAAGAGCATTTCAAAAGTTATTTGCATTTGAGAAAAAAAGGGGTGTGTGTTTTTATTGTTGATGAACGAGAAAAGAGAAAGTATAAGAAAAATGTAGAAGTCATGATTATTTGTAGATGTGTTAAATAATATTAATCCTAGTTTTAAACAACTCTATTATTTTCAGTGATGGAATTATCTAATGTTGGTATGAAATTATATTGTGATTCGTCATCTTGAGGATTTAGAGAAATTTGACGTACTTTTTTTTTCTCTTATGATAATTTGTGTGGAGAAGTTAAGTGGCACCATAGAAGCAAGGAAAGATCCTGGGCAGTATTGGAAAGAGATAATGAAAGACCAGCAAATGCCAGAAGGACTTCAAGGCCTTCTTCCATTTCAATATGAAAATCATCCCAAGACTCAAGAGCAATCTGTTAAAGATTCCAAGCATGAATGTGAAGAGCCTCTTGAACCTCGACCAAGTATTACTAAATATAATGATTTGGAACCTCGACCAAGTGTTACTAAATACGATGATTTTGAAGTCAAGTTAAGTGCTAACGAAAAAGATGATTTTGAACCTAGACCAAGTACTACAAAGTACAATGATTTTGAACCAAGACCAAGCACTACAGAATACAATGATTTTGAACCAAGACCAAGCACTACAAAGTATAATGATTTTGAACCAAGACCAAGCACTACAAAGTACAATGATTTTGAACCAAGACCAAGCACTACAAAGTACAATGATTTTGAACCAAGACCAAGCACTACAAAGTATAATGATTTTGAACCAAGACCAAGCACTACAAAGTACAATGATTTTGAACCAAGACCAAGCACTACAAAGTACAATGATTTTGAACCAAGACCAAGCACTACAAAGTACAATGATTTTGAACCAAGACCAAGCACTACAAAGTACAATGATTTTGAACCAAGACCAAGTACTACAAAGTACAATGATTTTGAACCAAGACCAAGCATTACAAAGTACAATGATTTTGAACCAAGACCAAGTACTACAAAGTATGATGATTTTGAACCAAGACCAAGTACCACAAAGTATGATGATTTTGAACCAAGGCCAAATGTTTCCAAATATGATGATTAGCTCTTGAAAAAGAGAAGTCACTCAAGAACATCGTACTCTTATCTTTGTATCAAATGAATAACTTGTGTGAAATATTATCATCTCTAAATAATTTCAACTATCTTTCTAAAAATGGCTTATACAAATTTTAGTATTATTTTACAAATTTCAATATACATAAGAAAAAATTTATAAACACAATAATGAAATATTCTTTTAACATAACTCAAACACATTATAGATAAATAATAGTAACATCCATAATAAATATGATTGTTTAATCATGGAAATTTTGGAAGAATATACATTCTATTAATTTCTTTTAAGATTTAATTTAGATACATTTACAATGTAAATTAATACTGTTATATAATCACGAAATACATGTAGGTGAGATTATTTATAACAGCCATTTTAAAAATATTATATTCATCATGATTTTTATTTGATTGATGGTATAAAAATATTTACATCGATGATTCATTAATGTGTTAAAAGGTAAGTATATTATCTTAGTTGAATAATGAAATATTTAATCCATGGATACTGTGTTTCATAATTTTTAATTTATCATAATTTGAAATAGATAAACAAAAAAAAAATAGTATTTGATTAGAAGAGGAATAATAAAAGTAAAAATGAGATCAAATAAGAATAAGGTTGTAGAAAAATGGTCCCAAGTTGCTTGTTAGAGTAAAAAAATATTTTAAATTTGTATAATGAAAAAGTAATTATGTTTATCTTTGTGTTCAACTTTTGTTTATTTTATGTATTTATTATTATTTTCAATTAAGTTTCAATTTTATCATAAATTTGAACTTTTAATTGAATTTTTATTAATTTTTGTGATCAATTAATCATTCAAATTTTTGTATTCTTTAATTTAAGTTTCTATTTTTTAATACTTTTGTTAGATAGGTAATGCAAATATTATTTTTATTTAATTGTCTCCACTTCTTTAAAAATGTTAGATTTTATAGTTATTGCATATTGGAATTAATTCGCACCAAGTCACCAACAAATTCAATTACTCCACTAATTGATAAATTTATTTAATTTTTAAATAATTTTTTTAAAATAGTACATTAATCCAACCTATAAAAAAAATAATCTACTTAATTTATTTAAAAATAAAAACACCTCTAGAAAAACAAATTAAAGCAATTATACTTCATAGTTATTTGATATGCACTCAATAAAATTATTAAATTTTAAAAAATTAATAAATATACTTACCTATAAAAATAATTACAACACAATGTCTTATAAAAACTCCTTTATATTATTATGGTTTAAGTAAGTTGTGTTAAAAGTGTTGTAGTTTAAGTAAATTGTGTTAAAACGAGAAATTGGGTTGATTCACAACCGATAAGAAGTGAATCGAATGTTCTAAGAAAAGCAAAGTCTTTATGTAAAAAATGAAAAACTTCTTAAAAGTGGTTGATAGATAATTTAGATTATTACTTTTTTATAATTATATTTGAATCAATAAAAACTTTACAATAAGTTTTTTTTTATATAATAATATATAAAAATTTATGAAAAATATGATTTCATAAATTAAAATATAAAATTGATTACGTTACGGTTGAATTAGGATTTCTTTATTTATTTCTAACACGAACCTATATATTTCTATTATTTCATTCTCATATACAATGAGCAGTGATCCACACAATAATGAAGGGTCCTATAAAGATTATGTTGATTTATCGTCAATTATTCACCTCTTATTACAGGGTTTCAGGGGTTTAAAAGTCTTGAAAATTGACCCTTTGTCATGCTTCATTCTTTTTCCTTAGATATTTTATTATTATTTTTTGTTGCGTAACAGCCTTTTATTTTCAATTTTTTCAATCTTTGTAAGATGTTGTTCCCAACACCACCACGAACTGCAGTATCTTTTCATTCCTATTTTGTCATTTAGTAAAATTTTAGGATTAAACCCTTCTTTAGTCCTAATTTTTGTATGAAAATCTCAGTTGGGTCATCATTTTTTCAACTGTCTCAATTGGGTCATATTTTTTGTAAAAATGAACACATTTTACCCTAACCGTTAAGTGTTCTTTGACGGCGTTAACAGTTGCTGACCTATGCACGCTAATGTAGAATTGTTTTATTACGTGGAATTTTCTTTTTAAAATTAAGAGTTTTTTGACGTGGCTCATCCAAATCTGGTCAGATTCCCTTCACCACCCACTTCACTGGACTCACTCTCCCATGGACCTCGTTGGCGGAGCTTCGCCGGCCCAAGTCATTAGCAGACATGCCATTGATTGGGTAATTAAAAAGATAAAAACCATTGAGCGAGCCCTACTCGTCGCGCCTTCATCGTCGATCGTTGCCACTATGCCGCACCGAACGATCGCTGCCGCTATGCCGCCATTTGTGAGAGAATGAAATCTGTCATGGTTGAGTAGTGCACCGAAGGAGAAGAAGAGCAGAAACAGAATGCGAAAACCAAAAATGGCAAGACCTGATGTGCGAAATGCCACTGTCTGTGCCTTCTCGACCTGAACCAGGAAGAAGAAGAAACCAGAAAATTGAATTTTCCTTAAGGTTCAGGAGCATTAGGGTTTCAAATTGGGAATTTTTCCAATTTAGATTTCAGATTTTAATTAGGGTTCTTAAAAGAGATTTTCTGGAGGATTAAATTCCAGAAACATAATTGGGATTTTAATTTCCAATTTTATCATAAACGTTAAAGTTTCCCGAATTGGATTTATCATTAATGCTAATTGGTTTGGGTTTCATATCCTGGAGAACCAATTCGATCCACCAAGAAATCAAAAACAGAAGAGCATCATCTTCCTCCATTCATTTATTCATTCATCATTTTTTCCTGCATTTTTCTCCCAACAAAGCTGTCTGAAAAGCCTGGGTGAAAGGAGAGGGTCCAACACCACCAACAACAAGGGAAAATTTTTTGGGATATAATACCAGGTCACTGGAACAACAATATTTTTGGTAAGTGTTGGAGGAGGGGTCGTGGGAAGTAGCCGCTATGTTTGTGGAGTTTATCGATTAGGGATGGGAGAGAGAAGAGGATGCGAGAGAGGTTGCAAAGGTTAGGGTCAGAGGAGAAGACGGCGTGGGACTTGGCTTCGAGGTCGAGGAACGTGTCAATGACAGTGCTGGGTGTGAAGGGCTTTGGAAGCTTCTTTGACACCTTCAATTTTGATAAGCCATATCATCATTCTTTAATTTAAATAAAATTTCTACGTAATCAAACAATATATGTCAGCATAAACACGTCAGCTATATTTAACGCCGTCAGAGAACACTTAACGGTTAGGGTAAAATGTGTTCATTTTTACACAAAATATGACCGAATCGAGACAATTGAAAAAATGATGACCCAACTGAGATTTTCATACAAAAATTAGGACCAAGAGAGGGTTTAAACCAAAATTTTACTTTTAGGATTAATATTTTTTAACTTCTATCCACTCAAATAAAATGACCTATTTCTGGTCCCGGGATGAATGCATACAGCACGACAATCATAAAATCTCTTCTTTGCACACAAGTTCTTCTTTCTTTCTTTAACGTTCACTTCTTCCTCTCTTTCATTCTTTTACGAGAGTGTGGTGGAGTTTCATTTGGTGGTGTGAGAGTGTGCTTAGTGGGAGGTTGCAAAGGTCCATGGTGGAGCAAGAATCCAATGTTGCGAGAGGTTGGTGTCAACAGATATCCATTTATGTCGACGGATGTCGTATATCTGTTGAAGGCCAAACAGATATCTCAGATCCGCTTTGGCCTTCGCGGGCTCTGGTTCAGGTGGTTCAAGCGAGCAACAACATTGGGGATTCAAAGCAAACACACAGCTTTAAACCAAACAACACAGCACATATTTACATACATATACAAATTAAACATCTAACATGCAATCAAAACTACAAATGCAAAGAAAATGAATCTAGGATGGAGATGAAACCGCAACGAAACCAGATCCACGGGCTCCTCGACAAAACCAGATCCACGCTCCTCTTCTGCGTCCTCCACACCAGGAATCAACACCAATGGAAACAAAGAAACCGAAAAGGAAATGAGGAAGAGAAGAGTGAACAAAAAACAAAAAGAATAAAGAAGAAAAGCTGAAATGGAAATGGAAAGAGGAGATAACAGTGCGAGATGTGGTGGTGAGTTGCAGCGCTGCTAAGTGGTAAAGTTAGGGTTTTGGAATATATTAAAAAATTCTAAAAGGTAAAAATAAAAAAGTTTTAATATTAAGGGTAATTTTGAAAATAAAATATATTGGGGAGGTGGAGGAAACAAGGGTTAGTGGTGGGGAGCAACACCCTCCTTTATATTTTTATTGCAAATAATGAAACCTTATTCTGGACGGCTTAAGCCCATTAACATGGTTCTGTTTACCAAAATGTTAGCATGGGCTACAAAGGCCCGATATAGAACAAACCAGAAAAAAAAAGAAAACCAACAAACAACACTAAGATAAAAAGAAAATAATAAAAACATTCAAATGTATTGAAAGTCAAATAAAAATGAGTGCTGAAGTATTAAGAAACGTTTTCCAAATAATATCAGAAAACGAATATTGAATGATAAAAGAAAAGTCTAAATTTTATTTATTCATCGATGTATTAAGCTAATATTATGCCACAAATATAAATCCATCTAAGTTTATTTTTATAATTTATCCAGATAACTAGTTTTTAACAATAATATATATATATATATATATATATATATAATCCACAATATAAAATATATTAGTACAATCATTTAAAAGATAAAATTATAAAAATATAACATTAATATATTCCTTAACTATAAGAATATAATATTTATATATTTCAAAATCAATGCACTTGGTTCTAAAACAAAACTATTTATTTAGAGAATTTAACAATTTTTAACATCTCGTACTGCTGACTTATATCTTTAGGAAAAAAAAATTAATTCGTATCTTTGTTAACAATAATAAGATAATTATTGTAAAAAGAAAAGACAAACACAAGTAAAATCACAACATAAGAGAAGATAATTTACAAAAGAAAGCTCATATACATTAATTTTATCATACATTGCAACATATTAT